CTCATTTTTTATTCGAAACGAACCTGCTTAAAACTGGAGCCGAATTTGTGCTAGTCAGTTGGAAATACAATTGGGAAACCTCGTGCCTTTTCGGCAAAATTTAAACTGAAGCGTGATGCGCGCCGGAAATCCTGGGAATTCAAGAAAATTATAACGAACTTCTGTCACAACTCGATGCAAGTGTGAAAAGCGGCCTAGGTGCTATAGATTGGCTCCATGAAGCTCTGTACTTCGGAGCCTGACATTTTTGGGAACTCCCATACAGTCAACTTTTTGCACATGTTCTTTTTCTGGTTGAAACAAACCTGTCCAACACCGGAACCGAGCTTATGTGAATTTTCGAACGAACAGTCCACCCAATATGGACGTTGAAATGTTCGATCCAAGTCAAAGTCTCGAAAATCATCGAAAAAACGGTTAAAACGTGGCGTGAATGGTGACAGCAACGGGCGGCGAGCCATTTTGTTTGTTCACTTGATCTTAAAACTGAAACCTGTCTGTCTGTTCTTAAAACAGCAAAATAAGTCTCACGGCTTTAGCTGATAATCCATGAATTTAACGAGAGTTTCAGTGGACAATACAGCTCAATTAAACCCATCTTTAGCTAGATGTAACAAGTATCTAGTAACACACAGCAGCATTCTACACAACAGTGTATTTTAGGATTAGATTTTGTGGGTAGATGCATATGTAACGCAGACTTAAGTATAAAAATATAGAATTAATACAGGTATAAATGTTGGTAGCAGTAAGGGGAAGAAGAATAGAAAAAGAAAGAAAAGGAAGAAGCTAAAAAGGTGGACCCAAATGATCACCTAGGGTAATCGAAAGGATTTTAGCATCACAGCTCCGCAACCAGAAGTTAAATTTTCTATCTTTACATAAATACAAAAAATGCACATGTACAGAAACCATCTCACCGATGTCTTTTTAGATGTGTCAGCATAACTAACTTATGCAAATGAAAAATCATTAGAGCAAAAACATGGTGTGCGTCTATGTGTGTATGTTATTTTTGTGTATGTTCGGATTATTTAGCTTCCGAATTATGTGAGCCTGGGCATTGCTTTCGAACTTTTCTAGTGTCAGG